CTGCTGTAATCTCTCTTGTTTATTTTGCTGTTCCAGCTGCCACTGTTGCAGGTTTTCTTGCAACTGCTGTTGTCTCTCTTCTTATTTCTTTTCTTTTTCCTCCAACCACTGCTGTAATTTCTCTTCTTGTTTCTTTTCTTTTTCATCCAAGAACTGCTGTAATTTCTCGTTCTTCTGGTTTCTATTGCTGCCATCAAATCTGCTAAGCTATAGTTTGATTTGCCGCTTCTTGTTTCCATTTTTTTTGTCCCACTCTCTGACACCAATTTGTTAAGCCTCCGTTCGTTAGTTAATTTTCCGTAAAAATTCTTTCCGAAGAAACTTTACCGATACAAGTCCTTTCTTAAATAAAACTGGTTTATTCTTTCTGAATACAACTTTGCGATACACTTAATTTCAACAGTCGCTATAACAAACGCTATAATTCGCAACGAATGTCTCACGTGCTCAACTCAACAATACTCTGTCCGCAGTTCAATTACACATTGTTCCCGTCACGTTGTGACCGTCTTATAAATACAAGACAACCCCATATCTAGTAGTCTCCCGACGCTTCATGAACGTTCTAGAAGTGCGTGGCGTGTTACTAGCGTCACGTGACCTCCGCTGTCGTAACAGCAAGGTGATAAAACAAGTGAATTTGTAATATTAGATTTGGGCATTTCCAGTTAGAATTTAATGAACTAACCCACTTTTAAGTCTCACTGTTTCAGTTTTTTGCTCATGCTAGTACTAGAACTTTAGAGAAAAGTGAAAAATCCACATAATCAGTTAAATTGAACTTATAACAAGTGTATATTTATATTTCTAAAGAAACTCGATTTCTATTGATTATAAATCTGTTGTTGGTTTTTTGGAAGTTCCTCTGTTTCTGTTTTAATTTTTGAAATGGCATCAGAAGAGGAAAAGAAAATGATTAATTTTTTTACTGAAAAAATTATTTGGCTAATGTTTTAGCCAATAAAGTATTTCATCTTCTAAAACTAAATGGAACATTTTATGTTTACAGTTAATAGCTATATAAAGGCTTATTTAAGACTAGAAATTCTGATTATATAGTCAATGTTAGTAATACGTGTTAAATCACTAAAGTGAAGATCAAGGTTTGAGGCAACATGTTCATTTAAAGGTAGACTATGCAATTGTAAATTATAGAATAATATGTTTTTATTATGTGTGAAATTATTAAATAAATTACAGTAACCCCCAGCAGCTGCAAATTATTATGTATATATATATATATATATATATATAATATATGTATGTGTGTTTTGTTGTCCTAGTATTTACTGTACAGAATGTACTTTGCTTCATTTACATATTGATTTCTAATAGGCATACATGAGAGAATTGAGTATCTACCAGGCTCTGGTCGTAGAACTTTGTTTCCTACTGCCAGACTTGACTTGTGCGATGTTCCCTGCAATCTGGAACGACTGACTACTAGTGTTGATTTGGTCACTCAGCACATTGGAAAGGACTGTGACCGCGACACATATTCTGTGCAGTCTCAGAGGAAATTATGTGGTGAGTATTGATAGTATGCTAACAAACAGTAGTACCAGAGTATGGACCAATTGATTGAAACCAAGATAGGCTTTGGCTCACCATTAATGTATCAATTAATTCGGAATAGAAATCTCAAAGTTAGATTTAATGTAAGAGCTGGGGCATAAATAAGTTTAGCCTAGGTAAGAGCTGGGGGCATAAATAAGTTTAGCCTAGGTAAGGGCTGGGGGCATAAGTAAGTTTAGCCTAGGTAAGGGTTGGGGGCATAAGTAAGTTTAGCCTAGGTAAGGGCTGGGGCATAAATAAGTTTAGCCTAGGTAAAAGCTGGGGCATAAATAAGTTTAGCCTAGGTAAGCTTGTTATTATTCACAGTTCAGACTTGTAACACTGCACAACAAATTATCAACAAAAAACACAGTATTTTAAAAACTTAAATCTTGTTATATTTTACTATAAACCTGGGTAAGGAAAACATTTAATTGCACTTTTAAAACCTCATTGTTACTAGTTTTTGTAACTACTGATATTTTAATGATACTTGTTTTTTGAATACATTTTAGTTGATTCCTTTCAATAACAATATTTGCTCAGCGACTTTACTGGCAGATTTTCAAACACAGGCTGGCTTATAGAGGTTTTTTAATTGTATTATATACCACTGGTCCATGAAAGCCATCTTGCCGATCTATGGGATTTCGTAAAAACAAACAAACAAAACCTGAGAGAATACTGACATGTTCAGTCATTGTACTTGCAAGTTAGGGAGGCAGTAAGCTGGTCTTTAGTGTCAAAAAAATTGAGAAATTGCTGATATATATATATATATATATAAGATCTAGGCAGAGTCTCCTTTTGGCTTGAACCCTTAAATTGATTCATTTAGTTTAATTAGTACAGTATTAGTTTTGAACTGCTAGTGTGAGCTGGATATCCAGCATCAAAGCCTACTTGCACAGATTGCTTTTCATCCATTTCAGATTATTACAGTTTGTATCATTTTCTGTCTAAAGTTGAAAAAACAGTCATACAAATTTTTTTCTTTTTTATTCTTCTTCTCACAGTAAAAGATAAAACAAAATATGATTTCAAGATGCTATATGGTTATTGTAGCATATCATGGGTCATAAACCCCTTCTGTGTCGGGTTTTTTGATAAACGAGGTAAAACAATTTGCAGTCTTTTACTTTGCTTTTTAATAGCTTATTGTAATATGTGATAATATTCAAATAAATTTGGGCTAATAATTAAAAATCCTGCAAGAAATGTTTTGCTCAAATGAATTTTTGAAAGATAGAGGGTACCCGAGTTATTTTGGGCAAATCATGGAAGGAGTCAAAGACGAAACTACACTTATGGACTTTATTTATGAAGAATTTATAAGAACTTGTAGATCCAGTAACTAAGCAAGAAATTTTGATATTTTCGTAAGCTTATGTAAACTTACAGAGATTAGCAGGCTCACTTGTTGGACAGCCTGATCTAACCATAAAACCATCAATTTGCAAGTGAAATTTAACACTGAACAACTTGGCAGACAGACTATTTTCCACAGCTACACCATTTGTTTGATCTATTGCCCAGCTCTTGTAACTGTTTATGCATCTGTAGCGTGCAGTGGAATCTCATTTAAAAATTAGTAGAAGTAAATTTCTTCTGAAAACATACAGTATTTAGAGTATCAGTTTCATCTCTGACAAATTTTAGGTTTTCTCTTTATGACAAGTGTTATCTTTCATTTGATGACACTTTCTGTGGTGTATTTGATAACAAAATGTGAAACCACTAATACAGGGAAAAATACGATTATTTTTAAAGATGCTATGGAAGCACTTATTACAACTGAAGGTCGAAAGTTATCTAAATCTCCTATGGATTTTTCATCTTTCTGTTTACCACAGCTACTTGCTAATGCAAATGAAAGGTATTCAGTACTATAAAAACAAAAGATGGTTCCATTTCACAATAGACCAAATAAATACACATGTTACTCTGACTTGTAATCTCCACTTTCTCCAAGATGAGGATCTGTGTGCCAGGAAGTAAAAAAAAAACTAGTGAAGATCCAGGATTAAGTAAGAAAATTCAATGAAGCCCAATGGGGCACTAGAGAGAGGGAGATAAAAAGTAGAATGTGACTGTTACTAATCTAAACAATTTATTTTTGTTACAGTTGTTCAGGAATGCTAAAATATGCAATAAAAAAGATCTTTAAAAGGTGTAAAGATTAAAAGTGAAAAGAGCATGATGTGGCATCAGGTTATTATAGCAATGTAAACTAAACAATGAACCAGTACATTTTCTACAACATAGGAAATATGAAAATGATATAGCATGTAATAAGTGTAAAGTGAAAAAAGATTAGGGTTTACTAACATGCAATATATTAACAACAACAATGTAAATACACATTTACAATATTTTGTTGTCAGTTTGTTTGTAATTAAGCACAAAGCTACACAATGGGCTATCTGTGCTCTGCCCACCACGGGTATCAAAACCCAGATTATAGGGTTGTAAGGCTGCAGACATACCCCTGTGACACTGTGGGTCTTTGTTGTCAGTAAAGGACAGTAACATAGATTAGACAATGCAGAATATTATTACAGAATATCGAAAGAAAAGCTAACTAGCTACTCAGTGAAGTGAGAGTTTCCAGGGAGCTTTCTATTAAAATATAGCAAATTACATAGCCACCATTCTCCTAATCTGTATGTTTATGAACTACCAGTAATCTATAAATCTAACACATCTAAACAGCTCATAATTTGTTTTTTTACAAATAACACACATTCTACTGCTAATGCTCTGTGTAAAAAAAATTAAAGATTTTTTTCCTAAGAAATGTAATTACTGATAAGAATATACAACACTGAGTTTGATAGTTCACTCTCTTTGTGAGAGTATCTGTATATGAAACAAACAAGAGCAGTTTATCTCTGTCTTTACTGAATAACTATTAACTGAAATCCAGTTGTTTTAGATAGAACAGGGAGATATTTTATGAGTAATTGACTACCATTATCTCCAGTTATATATGTGCTAAAGTTACATGGAATCGTAAACAAAACTAAAACCTAATGTTTGGTTGAAATATATGGATGATACATTTGTTGTATGGCCACATGGGAATAAGACTCTTTCGTATTTTCTAGACCACCTTAACAAACAGAAGGTCTCCATTCAATTACTGATAAGGAACCAGGAGCGATGATGTTTACAGTAAACTGTGATCAAACTCATACTAATTAATTCAGCTCTTGCACATTTCATTAAGGCCAGAACTCTGGAAATGTTGACTTATTAAAGCAACATGTATTTTTGAGATAGGCATATATTAATATGTTGTGTATGTGTGTGTGTATATATTGTTTGTTGTTAATATATTAACTTAGTTCCAACTTTTCAGATATACCTTTTGATTCCTTAACTGTTTAATATAAAATTATCTACACACAATAAGGGACCATTTGGTCCTTCAAGGCTTTACCATAACGCCCACCCATGAAGAAAGTAAACATTTAAATCCATCTATCTACATTTCAGTAAATCATTGACTCCAGTTTCATTCTCTTAATAACAATTTTTTGCTTTCTCCCATCCTACTATTCTGTTAACTATTCTTTCCTCAACCCATACATATGTAATTTTCTTGGCTAATTGTTTGTGTGGTACCTTAATTATCAAAACATTTTTTATAATCTAAGTAACACAAGCCCACACTCTTTCCTTTATTCAGATAATGAGTAATTACTTGGAAAAAGGATAACAGATTAGTCAGGCAAGATTTGCCTTTAGTGACTCTCAGTGCTGGCTTTCATTTATAATGTAATATTTTACTCTGTAATTGTTTTAAGCTTCTTTTTTAACTACAAAAATAAGACTTAACTGACCTATAATTTCCAATCCTCGGATACTTGCTCACTCTCTATCGATCTACCAAAAAAATGAAAGCGAAAGATGATTACATAAGCATAAAATAACATTAAAGAACAAGCGACCTTTTGGTCCATCCAATCCATTAAATTAATATAAACACTAGAAAACTCAAAACCAGCCTATATCATTAGAATATTTATCAATCTTTCCCTTAAACTCCCAAAAATTAACTGCATCTACAACATCTGATGGCAACCTGTTCCAAAGGCCAACCAACCTATTAGAAAAATAAAGTTGCCTTAGCTGAAGATGATTCCCAAAATTATATTTGCCTCCCCTAAAACTCTGGGGAAAACCGTGTCTGGTTCTAGTGCTTTATCTACTTTTAATATATAAATCTTTTTACTTACCACCAAGGGATTAGTATCTACATGAGTCAGGTCAATGGTTTCTGAAAGTGTGGTCTGAGAGGGTCCTCCAGGTCCAAAATTAAAGTCACTGAGTTTTTCTCACAATGGTAAGCAAAATGGGTAGGGTGGGACTGGTAGGTGGACCATGGACAAAAAAGTTTGAAAACCACTGCCATAGAATAGCCAGGGTCTGGAATGTTGTCTCTTAATAAAACAGAATAAAACTTCTAAAAACACAGTCATTCATAGCCTTTATCAAAGTATTCCTTTCAGACTCCTTTATTGGCCCAATCTTCATTCTAATACTTTGATTACCTTTAACACATTAAAAAATATCTTGTTGTAAGTTTTAACATATTTTGCAGCTGTTTCTCATAAGTCCCTTTGATTTCCTAAATCAATTATAATCAAATCCCTAGCCTTCCTCTATTTATATAAATCTTCCATCATATCTATCAATTTAAACATCTTAAACTTATGGCATTTATCCTTGATTTGCTGTTTTACGTCTTTAGTAAGCCTTTTAGGTTTGACCTTCCCTGTTATCCTTTTCATCCTTGTAGAAACATGCCTATCTTGAATCAGAAATAATTCATTTTTAAATATTTCCCAAGTCTCTCAAACAGCACCTTTTAAGCTCATTATCCCAACTCACTAATAACAAATCTTGTCTCATGACCTTAAAATTGGCTTTCTTAAAATTACAAACTAAAATTTCAGTTATTTTTATCTAATCATGTACCAAACATCAAATCTAACTATGCAATGGTAACTCTTCCCCCAAAAGTATTTCTACTTCAGTTCTTGCAGCCATATCCTCATTATTGGTTAACAATAAAGATAAAATGGCAAGCCTTTGACTGCTTCTTCAAAAGTTGGCTATAAGGCAGGCTGCAGCAGACGATATGCCACTATTGCATACACTGCTGAGCTCATGATTTTGCAAATGACAGTTCACAATTGATGCTAAATTTTCAAGTCATGAAGCAATTCAAGGGTGAACATGAATGACAATTGCTTAGAATTTTATGATAAACTCCTGGCCAACAAGAAAATGCTCAAAAATAATCCTTTTCACCTGATGATACTTATTATTTGTATAATTTATCGTTTAAAATTTCCCTTGAAAAGGGGGAAGGTTCTCCTCTGATTTTAAAATCTGAGTGCGTCTCTTAAGTATGTATTAATTCATTGTTCATTTTACATTGTTGTAATAATCTAAGCCACACGGTACTTATGTTACACTTTCAGTTAGATCGTTTAAAGTCTATATTTTTTTAATGTGCAGGTTAATGAATAGGGCTGAAATCTTGCTGGAAATTGTTCTAATGAGGCATAAACCCATTTTATGTGTCTTCCTATTGTTCCATCCCATGTTTCTAGAATAGCTTGTAAATTGCTGTTAATTAAATTTTTGAAGTATTTAAATTTTACATTCTTTTGTTTATATCAATGTATGTATACATGCTGAAGGCTGATTAGCTGCCTCGAATAATTTTTTTTTCCCCATCATTCACTGAAATAACTGTTTAACAAAAACTGTATCTTAAACACTTTCAAGTATTTTCTAAATAGCTTATGTGTATAATGTAATTGTTATCATGTACAGTTAAGTTGTTACTGTCATCTCTAAATTGTTGATTTCATATTTTCTTTTATAAAGACTCCGTACAGTTTATATCTTTGATGTAATTTTAATTTAATCCATTACCTATCTGTAGTTTTACATTTGGTTTTATGCTTTATGAAATTTCATTGTATATTGTTGGTTTAGTAAATCAAGATCAATATATTTTGATATTTAATGAAACCATTTTGAATTATAAGGCTATCTTATTCACAGCTTTTCATCTTTCCCACTAGGTGCCAGCACAGAGAGTGTAGATTTGCTTCCTACAGCGGATGTGGAAACAGAATGGATAGACAACCAGCCAACAGATGATAGACATAGGAGTGACCAAATCTATCAGTTTGATGGTGCTACCAATGCTGTAATGATCTCGGAATTTACACTTAATCACAACCTAACTGACAACTTTACAGTGTCCTTCTGGATGAAGCATGAGCCACCATTAGAAACCAATGATACTTTTCAACATACTAAAGAACATGTCCTCTGTAATGCTGATGATCACAGTAAGTAATGATGTGTTGTTCTAGTTTAAAATTGTCATCTAACTATATCGTCACTGATTGTTTAACTCACAAACTAATTTACTGTAAGTCAACTTATTAATCAGATTGCTAACTCACAATAAAGAACAGCTAAGTTTTAATTAAACCTTGAATATATGGTGCACATCTAATATTGTTGTGAAGTCACTGTTAGTGATTTTTCATTTTAAATTGTTAAGTACGTTTTTTTACTTTGTTTTTAATATAGTCATTTCTTTTCCAGCCAGTCAGGAGTTACCCTTGGGTTAATCAGGTCACTTGTCATCTAGGAACAAATTACCTTTTTTAGGATCCCATAAAGTCCTATTTTTTCCCTACCAGTATTTATAACGATTCCTTTGTATTTCCAGACTGTAACACACTGCATGTAATATACTTGTTTGTTATTGTTTAATTTGAGCATTATCCTTTCAGTATTGTGACTGATTATAAACTTAAAACAAAAGAAAGGGAGAGAACTTTTCGTGACTGGATGGATATTAATTTTACAGAACACAACCGTCACCACTATTCCATTTTCATCAGAAACTGCCGATTAATTTTGCTGTTGAGGAGAGAATTCAACCAGGAACAACCTAATGTATTTAAACCTGCAGAATGGCGTTGGAAATTATCAGAAGTCTGTGATAACCAGTGGCATCATTATGCTGTTAGCATAAATTTTCCTGAGGTACAGTATGAAAATGGAAAAGCATATTAAATTATTTTTATCAAATCCAATGTATATAAAAGTCAATGTTTGTCACGTCATGCTTGATTTCTTGAAATAGGAGAAGTCGTAAAAGCCAAAATGCATTTGTTCAGATAGAATAGTTCGATTACTGTCTGTCCATTACAATTTTAGTGACCTTGGTGCAAGGATTGCCGTGAAACCTTGTAAGTGTAGTGAGTGTTCGTATTATAAGCCTAAAGTAAAGATGTAGTGTGGGATCACCTAGCCTAGAGCCAAGTGTATAAAATTTATCATGAAAGTAAAAATATCGATTCAATTTTAAACTTAAAAGTTAAATCGTTTCTGAATTAAGCTTTTGTTCTGTTATTTCACCAACATTTTTAATAAAAAACAAACATCTTTAATCAACACAGAGACTCTAAATTAAGAAATCGACAAATATTTTTCCAGTTTTGTTGTCTGTTCATTTCATTTTATACTTACAGTACATAGACTAACAACAATGTTAGATTATACTCTTGTTGCTAAGCAACATGACATAAAAACCATTGTTGGAAGGTAGTGTAACCAAAATGCACTGGCTTTTCTATGTATTAGAAGTTGTTAATCTAACTGATTTTTACCAATAATTATTTGTTTAATATGCCACGAATTCATTTCATGAATTATCACAATTTTGATTAGTTCACAAAGGAACTTACCGACATTTGACTGCCTCGAATGCACTTTTCTGCCTCTTTTGATATCAAAACCAAAAATGTCAAAATTCACCTTGATGAAACAAAAAAAACAAAAAACAAGCTAATAGCTAATTCAATTTTTGAGACCCATAATATTAATTCTGCAACCAATACAGAAACTATATTATGAATTAATTACTAATATGGAAAACCCATAAACTTTATTATTAAAAATACTTCTGACTAACTTTTTCTCGATTATTAGTAGAACGTGATGTTCTTCTAATACCCAAAGATTATCATTAAAGGTAGTTTATAAATTAATTATCCAACTCTCACTCATAAAACTTTCTTTGTACATGAAACATACATTTTTTAATTAATAAATTCATACTTTATTAATTACACTAGCATATAGACCATTAAAAATGATGGGGCAAGTACTATCACCCACACCCCATAGTATACCCTAACCTCACATATCCTCACTAAAATTTATATAAATTTTGTGAAATTAAGCTTGACCAAATGTATTTTGGAATTATGTTTTTCATGGTTAATAAATGTATTGCAGGTTATTTTATATCTGGATGGTCAAACTTTTAAAGAGAAGCCAAGCAACTATGAAGTGATTGACGACTGGCCTTTGCACAAGATGAAAAATATTAACACTACCCTGGTAGTAGGTGCTTGCTGGCAAGGTATATATAGTCCTCCTGTTTCCAGTTGCACCCCCAGATGGATAAAATCTTACACAATACTTAATGTTGATGATTTGTACTTAGAACTTTATATTTAATTCAGATATTTCTACTTTGAACTTGGAAATATTTAGAAATAATTTAAACAGTTTATGTACACTATCCTTTGAATTTATTATTTGATCAATGCACATACTATTAAGTCACTTAACAATTCAAATCAGGTAGATTTACTTCTGAAATAATAAATGCCTTATTGAGTTTCTTGCATGTTATCAACAATCATGTGACTTTAGGGTCTGAATTCTCTTGAAGATATCGAGCATGCATCAACTTATGAAGAGTTCTCTGCTCTCCCATCTTCTACATGGCTTACTGTGTATGCATCATGGAGTGGCTTATCAGTCACCTCCCTTCCCTTCAGCTTTACTTTGGCTCCATGTGTGTTTTTTGCCAAGCTGAGAAAGCATTACCTGATCTTCATTTACTCAACAAGGTGTCAAGGTAATGAGGAACTCTGCTGAAAAGAATACTTTTCTTCCTGATTGTATTCATTATGATCCAATCTCTTATGATGCTGGCCTGCCTTAGTTGATTATCCTATGAATTCAGTCCATTGACTTTTGTTCTGATTCTGTATTCTGTTCAAACTCTGCCTGATCGCATATTTCATATGATGTGGTCTAGGTCATTAACTTTCTGTCTCGGAGCCCAACTTTTATTGAACTAATGGTTCTTATGACTCTCTACGATTAACTTCTCCATCTTATTGTTGGTATACTGGCTTTTAGTATTTCAAAGGTGAGTCTACCTGATCTGAATTTTACATTTTTAGAATTAAAATAATTTTCAAACAGAAAGTTATCTCTGAAATACATTCCTGCCCACATTTCCACAATGTCTGTTACTAAGAAATCTGGAATATAGCAGGAATGCAGAGCTTATGTACTTTCTCCTGACACAATAAGTCACTTGGGAGAGTAGAGAACTTTGAGTCAGTTGATGCATGGTCTGAATTGTGTCAAGGATATTCAGAAGCTAAAGTCACATAATTGTTAAAAACATGAGAGAAACCAAGGAAAAACTTTTAGTATTTCATTAATATCTCTGTGAAATTCATTTTAATTCTAAAAATGTGAAATTTTCATAATCTTCGGAGGACATAAAACATTTAAAACCAAATATTTGCATCAATACATAAAATAATAAAACTACCCCTCAAATTCTCAGGTAATTATTATATATGTTTATGAATAAAGTGAGTCTTGAATTTTATAGATAAGTTTCTCTCACCAAAAATAAAATACCTTTCTCCACATCAAGGGAGAGAAAACAAAATGAATTTCCATTTCCGTGGATACTTAGCTGGTCTGTCAGTGCTCAGGGGGCAAACAGAAAACCCAGATGTTTTGAGGTGTCTTCATCGTTGCAAAGAAGGTCTTGAAGAACCTTCTTCAAGTCTTATTGAAAGCAACACGGTGAGTAGGAATCTTGAAGTAGCGAACATTTAGATAGCAACACGGTGAGTAGGAATCTTGAAGTAGCG